GAATGTAAGACCTTATGTCACCCCTCCTTTCCGACGTGCAGTTTTTAATATGTTACATGTATTATCACATCCAGGTATTAACGCGACGATCAAGCTCATAACGCAACGTTATGTTTGGCCGTCGATTAAAAGAGATGTTCGCACGTGGACACGTTGCTGTATACCGTGCCAAAGATCAAAAATTTCCCGTCATGTGACTGCACCATTGGCTACATTTGTTAAACCTTCTGCGCGATTCGAACATATTCATTTAGACATAGTAATTTTACCGGTGTCCGAAGGTTTCAGGTATTGTCTGACCTGTGTAGACAGATATACGCGGTGGCCGGAAGCCTTCCCCATGGTCGATCAGGAGGCCCAAACCGTAGCTCGAACCTTTTATGACGGTTGGGTAGCGCGGTTTGGTGCTCCCGTACGGATTACCACCGATCAGGGTAGGCAGTTCGAATCCAAATTATTTTTTGCGCTGAACAATTTAATTGGATCCACACGCCTTCGCACAACGGCGTATCACCCAGCGGCCAATGGGATGGTAGAGCGTTTTCACCGACAGCTCAAGTCGGCTATAAGGTGCCACGGATCCGACAAGTGGACAGAAATACTTCCGACGGTTCTACTCGGTATTCGTTCCGCCTGGAAAGAAGACCTCGGCGCTACCTCAGCGGAATTAGTTTATGGCGAGCCATTAAGATTACCGGGAGAGTTCTTGTCTTCGCATTCAGCGGAAGGCACAGAAAATGCTTCCGATTTTACTAATAGACTACGCAACCATTTTTCTAAATTGAGTCCCTCTAATGCATCGCGCCATTCCGTTAATCGTACATTCGTTTTCAAAGATCTTAGCAGTTCAACACATGTTTTCATCCGAACAGATTCAGCCAAAACTATTTTACAACCCGCTTATGAAGGTCCATACGCCGTAGTGCGCCGAGGCGAAAAAACATTTACAATAAACATTAGAGGTAAGGAAATAAATATATCAATTGAAAGGCTAAAGCCTGCTTATATGCTAGCAGAAAACTGACCGGATCCCGTGAGCATAGAAAATCAGCCGGTCACACAAACAAACGTACCTGACAATGCGCCGGTTATACAGCAACGTGTTACGTGTTCAGGTAGACGCGTACGTTTTCCCGAGCGATTTCAAATTACGCGGTAGTACTTAAGGCTTGCGCATTATTATAATAAGTATCATATACCATTTATTTTTATCCATCACTTTTATGTACTTTCATGTATTTTTAGGTATTACGTATTATATATTAAACTCCATGTAAATTCCTTTTTTTTTCAACTCTGTTCAAATACTGTAATGTAAATCTTAGTTAGGATAACGTATTTTATATAATAGAGTAAATGGTAGTGGTAATGTAGTCGGTCAATTTTTCGTAATTGTGCCAATTACTGGCAGGGGGGTAGTGTGGCGGCCAAGGCACCACATACGCCTTAGCCGTTCGAAGCCGCTACAATGTATGGTTGCACACGAGACGATGGTTGCACACGAGACGACCAGAGCCGCGTGAGCCGAAAAGCCGTTGTCGTCGTCTCTGACCGTCTTTTGTTTTTGAAGGCCTCTTGGTACGGTGGCGATGATCGTACCAGAGAGTCGAGCGTAACCCGCACCACGAGTCACGTCGTTGTACGACAGCAACAATACAATTGTGCGGAACGGAACAGAGCGGAGTCATTATCTTCCCGATCCCACACTATTATTCAACGGGGGGAGCATGTTCGATTCCGAGAGGCGAGCGACGCCTCATTCCCTCGTTTGGGTATTTTTACGCACATTGTTCGATGGTACCGTTAGTCCTCCGAATTGCTGGACAAGGCACTCAGCTGCGTCGCAGCTGCGGAGTCGTATTTTCCAGACCGGGTTTGTTGTTCGCGAATAGGCCCTTTTTCGATTTTTTGCTGTCCTTCGACCATTTAGAAGAATGCCTAATCCTCAAGTGTCGAACACGTGCGCTTCAGAAGTTAGGCTGATGGCATTGGAAAGTGGCCATAAAGTCAATCCGTGTTTCCCATCGCGCCGTATGCCGCCTGCGAGGTACGCGAGGGTTCCGGATTCAGACTTCTAGGGGCCTTTTGTCCCTCGCGCCAAGGCAATGTAGCCATGCGGGCCACTTGGCCGTCCAAGAATCGCGCATACCCCTTGGCCGCTATCCCGTTAGCGGACCAAGGTTTGTAAACCGTTAATGGGCCGCTCGGGCCCAAGTCACCGCGCCGCTTCGGGGTGACGTCACTCGCGGAGTTCGGCCACTTTCGGGAATTTTCCGGGGTCGACTTGGGGGTGGGGGCCTTCTTCCTCCACTACGGGAGGGTTGTACGAGAAGATCCTCCTCCCTCAAGTCAATCCGCAAATCCTAGCGCGCTTCCCCCGAAAATGGGCCTCACCGAGGACTCTGCGAGGTGACGAGCGAAGTTACCCCGAGGCAGAAAATCAGGATCTTTTCGAAGCTATCGAGATTCGATCGAATCTTTCGTATACGCAGTACAAATCTATCGAATTTCTTCGAACTCACTAAGAATCTATCGAATCTTTCGAATACGCAGACAGAATCATTAGAACGCGCAGAAAGAGAATCACGCAAAAACTCAGAGTAAATCGATCGCGCCAAGTACAATACATTGTCATCTTCACGGTCGCTGCTCCTTTTGAAACAATCACCTAAAGTTAATTCGGCCGGTGATAACGCCGCATTGTGGCACCAATAAACTGTTACTTGTTACACGAAAAAGACTCAGTTCTTTCTAACAACCACACACGGCATAACAATCCATGCAATACTGATGGGCGACTTCAACGCCCATCATACAAGTTGGAATTGCAAAACCAATGATACTAACGGCGAAAGACTTCTCAATAGTTATATCAAATCAGATTTATTTCTTCATAATTCAAAATCTACTACCTATGTACAATATCATAGCGATATTAGGTCCAATTTAGATCTTATATTCTTATCAGGAAATATAGCTTACAAGATCAATGTGGAAGTAAACGATGAAACTTGGGGCTCCGATCATTACCCCATATTTATAACAATATTCACGAAAAAAGTATATATCACAAGAAATCCTTTAGATTAAAATCATTAAGAACCAATTGGGAAGAAGTAATTATTAACTTAGAAGAAAATTACGATCGATTTTTGGCAGCAGACTATGACCTTCTAACCGCTAGCGGTAAATATTCCATTTTTACTAACATACTAACAAATGCTGTAATAGCTAACACACCAAAAAAAAGAATCGTTAATGACAAAATCCATCGAAATCCGGTACCGTGGTGGTATTCGGAGTGCGATAAGGTCAAAAGGCTTAGAAAAGCAGCTTTTAAAAAGTGGCAATTTTCTAAAAACTGTAATGACTACATAGAATATAAGAAATGTTCGGCTTTGGCTAGAAAAACTTTCAAAAAAATGAAGAAAGACAATTTTAGAGACTTTGCAAAAACCATTAACTTTCGCACCAGCAAAATGTATGTTTGGAACCGTAGCAAAATCCTAAAAAACAAATGGATCAAAATAACACCTTGTCACTCTTCCGGAAATCACCAGTCTGAAATCAAAATTAGGGAAGCTTTAGACAAAATTAATCCATCATGGGTCTCTGATGATCCAGATTGGTTGCCTACTTGTAAGGACAACCAATTTCTCGACACACTCTTTGACTTTGCTGAGTTTAACATCGCTCTCAAGAAAAGAAACACTCGCTCAGCTCCAGGCACAGACGGTTTAGATTACGAAATCCTTCAAAAGTTAGCAATCAAATATAAATTAATTCTCCTAGACATATATAATGAAATGTATACAACGGGCAGCTTTCCAGCACAATGGAAGGAATCCTATATCCACTTCATAGAAAAAACGGACGGCAAAAGTGTGAGACCTATCTCCTTGTCATCCTGCCTATGCAAACTTTTTGAATCAATGGTAAAGCGTAAATTGGATTGGTGGGTGGAGCGGAATAACATTCTTCCTAAATCTCAAACGGGGTTTCGCCAAGGACAATCCACTATAGATAATCTGACTAACATTATCCTAAGCATCGAAGAATCCATTAATAATAAAAAGAATCTTTTAGCTGCATTTTTAGATGTCAGCAGCGCATTCGATAACATCAATACAAAAATTCTTTTGCAAAAATTGGCAAAGATTGGTTGTCCATTAAGTATGATTAAATTTATTAAATTCATAACCTTTGAGAGGGTAGTATATACTGAACTCACAGATAATCAGGCTAGGAAAGTATTCAAGGGCGTTCCTCAAGGCGGAGTCCTTAGTCCTCTTTTATACAATATATATGTCTCTAATGTAACTGATAATGTACCTACGAGTGTCACAGTCTCTCAATTTGCAGATGACATCGCAATTTATTGCAACAGATCCACAGTAAACAATAACAAAAGCTTATTAGAAAAAGCGATCTCGCTAATCGATAATAACCTACATAACTTAGCTTTAGAACTCTCCCCTTATAAAACTGTGTTTATGCATTTCAACAGACTTAATATCCAGCCAGGTCAAACAGAAATAAAGGTTAAGAATACAACAATTAAATCAAGCGAATATGTACGCTTCTTAGGGATAATCTTTGACTACAAATTGTCATTTAAAAATCAAATAGATCAAATACAAAAAAAATGCACAAGAGCTATGAACATAGTAAAATTTCTTCGGGGTACGTGGTGGGGATCAAATCCAGAAACCTTAATAGTACTTTACAAAAGTTTCGTTCGCTCAATATTGGACTACGGCTGCTTTGTATATTTTCCTACACAACAGAACCAAATAAAAAAGCTAGAGAAAATTCAATACACGGCAATAAGATTTGCTCTTGGATACAGAATTAGCACACCTACCAACATTCTTCTATCGGAATCCAAATTGCAACTTATACAAGAACGTTCGAGATTCCTATGCACGAATTACCTGAATAAGGTCTATTCGAACCCAAATTCGGTAGTTTATATAGCTATTTCTCGCCTCCAAAAGATTATGGGGAACAGGTACATCAAACGTAAAAACAGTAACAGGCTTCTTTACCAGTGCATAAAAGACACTAAAAACTCAATCAGTCATATTTACTTCACCAATAACCACAATAATGATGTTCAAGAATACTACTCTTTTGTTAGCAATATTTATATTAACACAGAATTTGGCACGTTATTAAAGTATGTAGAAAATCCCAATTTATTAATTGAAAATTTAATTAAAGAGGAAAAATCGTATGCTCTGTACACGGATGGCAGGAAGTCAAAGAACTCAGTTTCCGTAGGAAGTGCGTGTGTCTGCAGTGGCTTGGACAAGACCGTAGTAAGAAGTATAACTAAAAACGCATCAATATTCACTGCAGAATCTATAGCCCTTAATGACGCTGTAAAGATAGCTTTAAATCAGCCTAATCAGAATTTTCTTATTTATTCTGATTCTCTTAGTGCACTACTCTCTTTGGAACTTACTGATGCAAACATAAAAACGAATCCCTATATCCTTGAAATTAGAAAAAATGTTTTTAAATTCGCCTCTGAAACCACGAACAATAGTAAAATTAAATTCTACTGGGTACCGGCTCACATAGGTATTCTGGGCAACGAGAATGCAGACGATTTAGCGAAAATAGCGGCAAACACGGCATCTACAGACTCTCTCAAAATTCCCTTCACGGATCTAAGGGAATCGGCTAAAACAGCAGCAACGCAAAGCACATATAGTACCATAGAAAAAGAAGGCTTAATTAAAGGCGTTAATTATTTCAGACACTACCACAATCGTAAATTAAAACCGTGGTACAGTAATAAAAATCTCAAACGGGAAATTATATCGACGATAAACAGATGCAGATCAGGACACTACAATCTCGCCAGCTCTCTCGCTCAGATTGGTGTAATAAACGACCCACAGTGTCAATGCGGCTATGAAACTCAGGAGATTGACCATGTACTATGGCAATGTCCCAGATTTGATGAACATAGATTAAAGTTTATTAAACAGTTGTGAAAACTACATATCTATCTTCCGCTTTCATGTAACATTCTACTCTCCAGACCTACGTCTAAAATATGTAAATTGACCTACTCGTTTCTGAATTACTGTGGATTAAGGATTTAAGAAAAGATTTCATCTGTAAACTGTTTGTTTAGTAAGTATACGTATGTTTATTGTTTTGTTTGTATGTTTATTGGATGTTTATTGTATGTTTATGTTTTATTGTATTAGGTGAAGTGTTCTAATGTATTGAAACGTTTGTTCAGCACTGCAAAATAATCTCTTTCTTGAGATTCAAAAAAAAAAAAAAAACATCCATCAATTATACCATCGAAAGCTTTAATGGTATCGATGATGAGTTTGTGTATTTTGGGATAAGTAAAGTTCTTGAAAAATGTGTCAATCCAGAGATCCATAAAAGTAACGATATACCATTGATGTTTAACGTTGATGGTTTACCATTATTTAAATCCAGCAGAAAACAGTTTTGGCCAATCTTGTGTAAAGTTTTTCATCATCCTGATGTTTACCAACCCTTTCCTGTGGCTATATATTGCGGAAATACAAAGCCAACCAATCTTGAACGATATTTGGAGCAATTTAAAAATGAAATTAACGATCTGAAACGTACTGGTATCGCGATAGATAATAGAGCATTTACTATTTACCATCAAAGCTTTTATATGTGACAGACCGGCACATTCGGTTGTGAAATGTATTAAAGGTCACGCAGGATACTGGGCCTGTGAGAGATGTACGATACGTGGCAAAAGATACGAAAACCGGATAATTTATCCATTGGTAAATACTGAAAAAAGAACTGATTTGTCATTTAGAAATTGTTAAAGATATAATGCTTTACTTCCCTCTGTTTCTATGCCTGTGTCAATCTGGGTGTGTGAGTAGAGTGGATGAGTGGTGCCACCTATGAAGAAGCGAAAGACAGAAGCGACCAGAGAGAACGAATGTAAGCGAAAGTGTAGAGAGTACGGAGAAAAGTGTGTTGGGATAAGATAAGGATTTTAGAAAGAAATATATGTATAATCAAAGTCTGACATAAATAAAGTCTCGTTACAAACCAAAGTAACAACAGAAATCAAACTAATACACAACATCATTTAGGAATATCTCCTTTACTTCGCTTATATCCGAACATTGATATGATCAACCAATTTGTATTAGACTCCATGCACTTGCTGTATTTGGGAATTATGAAAAAACTATTACACTATTGGATAGATGGAAATGTGAAAAAGGTGAAGCTGACTGGTCCTGCTAAGACGCAATTATCGAATTTACTACAAAAGATAAAAGTACCTACTGAATTTCAACGAACGACTAGATCACTAACAGAGTTTCATAAATTCAAAGCCACTGAATACCGATTTTTGTTGTTATATGCAGGACCTGTTGTCTTTAAAAAAAATTTACGAACTGACGTCTATAGACATTTCTTACTCTTTCATACTGGTAGCAGAATATTATCGTCTAAAGAATTAGCCGTGGATAAATGCGAATCAGCTAGATTGTATTTGAAGAAATTTTTGACCAAAGCGCCATTTATATATAACAAAGAAATTGTGGTTGGAATTGTCCATAATCTAATCCATCTTGCAGATGATGTTGAAAATATGAACTGTTCTCTGTCTAATATTTCTAGTTTTCCATTTGAAAACACTCTAGGAAGAATGAAACGACTTATTCGCAATGGAAATAAGCCTCTCTCCCAATTATGCCGTCGATGGAATGAAATCTCTCATAGTTGGAATGAAAAAGCGGATATTTCACCTACAATCCAAATTACTAGACAATTAATATCAAAAGAATTAGAGAGGAAAATACCAATTAAAAGAGTTCAGTATAAAGAGGCGCTTTTATCCACTACATTTCCGAACAATACAGTTTTATTGAATAGTAATGAAATCGTACAAGTGTGTAGTATGTGGATATCTCCAAACGATGACGTAAATTATATCGAAATTACAGGAAAGATATTAAGGAAAAGAAAGGCACTTTATTCGTATCCTTGTAATTCTCACCATCTCCAAATGTGGAATGTCAGCGGTAGAATTACGGACAATATAATATTTAAAATTATCGATATTAAAAAAAAATGGTCCCATTTGATTTCAGCGATAGATCATATGTGAAGTACGTGCCAAGCGACCCGATCGACGCACCGGCAACCCCGGAGACATACAGGGTGTCCCCGCTAAAGTGTGACACCCTGTATTATTGCGTCCACAATGGTTCAAACTACCCATATTAAGGAAAAAATACGATAGCATCAATATGACATATTCGATTTGCGTAAAAATTGGTATTCCCATGTTTTTGAGGTCGCTGATTATAAATCTGAAGTAAAAATTTCAAAAAATGAAATGACTGATCCAAAATGAAGTAATAATTTGCGATAAAAGACGAGAAATTAAGAAATGTTTTTTTCGTTGCAAACAGTCACATTTATGCAAATGTAACAAATAGTTTTCTGATTTGTAAAGAAAAATGCGTTTTAAATTAAATATGAAAAAGAAAGATAGTTATATTTATGTAGTTATTATCTTGTAATTACCTAATCATTGTCCTCTGCAAGTAAAGCTGTCACATCGTTGTTGAGTTCAAACATCATTTTCTTTGGCACTGTTCGAAAACTATTTATGTACGGATCGGAAGAAGCTAGAAGCATGTGCATCGTATCTTCATTGGTGCATATCCGCGAACATTTTCTTGAGTGTTTCAACCGATATTTTCTATAGTCTTTATTTCTTGCTTCTTGAGCTTCTTCGGTTAGCATTCCTATTGGTAACATAGCAGCTGTTATTATTTTGCTCCCATGTAAAAGTATTTTATGTACTGTATTCGGCATATTATACCAGCTGTACAGCTGTACGTACAAATGGGCAGTCTCGTTGCAATAAATGCCAAACTTTTCTGAATCTATTGTATGGCTACTATTTATTGCTTGTAATATAATTGAGAAACGATGGATTAAATTTTCGTCCACCCCTGTTATTTCCGCTGTTAATTTTGGGTTATTGAAAAATCTTCTGGAGGTGTTTCCATCGTTGCTGGTACCCATGCCCTGTTTTACAACATCCACTTTCAGTCCCATTTTTTTAATGAATTTTTCTTGTATTTCTTTTTTAGTTTCAATTTGTTGTGGTTTGGTGCGTATATTTGTTCTCCAACTTTTAAATGATGAGTTATATGCAATGTGCAGAATGCATTCCATAAACTTGATTCGTGCATGTAGAGGTGATAATCCCAAGTTAAGGGCATTTGCAGCTTCAGGTTTATTTCTTATGGCATCTAAATTGTTCATTTCCGATGGTTTCGTTTTGCATAAATAACACACTGCCATGGATGGTGTATTAGTCACTGTTTGTGCAATTTTACCATCGATCATGGTAAATAAAAGTTTATGGTTTACGCTATATGTCCTGCCATCTATTTGAATTGTGGTGTTATTAATATTTTGAATTTCTGTCTCCATTCTTGCAACTTCATTTTTTATATTATTTGATGTCTCTGGAGCAAATTGAAACTGAATCGGTCTACAGAACCTCGTAGAGGAAGGTCTTGTGTTTTTCCAGACCACTACAGAATCGTTTTCTTTTTCATGTAGATGCAGGGGAACAAGGGATGTGAGAAAGATTGTTGCATCTGTGATGTTTTCTTCATCAAAAGCCTGCTTATATTCACTGTGCCCGGATGATCCATCACACCCCCATTTAGAAACAAGTGTCATTTCACTTCCTATTGTTGTAAGTTCCTCGCTTTTGGTTTTTAAAATTCTTGCAGTAGTATGATCTAATAATTTTTGTAAATTAACACTCGCACAACTTTCAGTTACGTCGACATTCGAAGGGTAACACTCTTTCTTCGTATTTAATAATTTATGGTAAGATGGGTGTCGCGCAGCGAAATCATTTTTAAGAACGGGATATTTTATAACAACGAATATTTGCGTCCAACGCAGGTAGCTTGGAAAAGGGTCGCCGTAAGCAGACCATAGAAGCAAGGCAATTAAGCATTTTAGCGACTAAAACCGTCCCCATAAACATAGACTCCTCGACGGCTGCACCTCACGTGCAAACACCCCCAATAAACCATACCTGCCCCAACGACAAACATTTTCCCAAAATATTTAAACATTTAAGACACGCCTCAAGAACATTCCTGATACACCCTCCTCCCAAGCACCACCAATAAGAAGCCATCCATCTCGCCCTTTCCACTAATGAAACCAACCAACCACAACTTCACCGAGTCGAAAAGCGCTAAAAGATACCACTGTTAGACAGATATCAAGCAACGCTCAGTCAGAATACAACTCAAGAGTCTCGTCATCTACTTGTTTAAAATAAAGACTTAACGAACAACCATCGTCTTTGCTTCTGTAAAGCACCCTAAATACTCACACAATTTTAAGTAGGCGTGTGAGGTACGCGTACAAAAAGGCAAACGCGCAAATAGTTACGCGTACAAACAATGGGAAAATATCATGACCAATCTTCTGAGTTGCTTTCCTAAGAATTTCATATTGGTATTTTGATAATGAAGCGTCAAGAATTAAAGCCAATGCTTCTTTTGGACTGAATGTGGTGGTAGGTATTGACGAATTTTCAATTGTACGCCCAGCCATAACAATTAATTCTTCAGAATAATTGTCGCGTAATTGCTTGACTTTGTATCGTTTAGTTCGATCACGGCACTCATCAAAACTTTTTTCTGGCCGTCCTGTTTGAAAATGTTGGGAAGGGCCTGACTCAGTATCCGCAACATTTTCTGTAAGATCCAAACTAATTGAGAAGGTTTGATCCAACCATTTTTTATTCCTCTTCATAAAGGCATTTTTATTTCGCGATGCAGATTGCCATTTTTTTGAAAAATTTGGTATGAAAATTGTCGCGAAGCGAAATCTTTTTAAGAACGGGATGTTCTATAACACCGAACATTTGCGTCCATCGCAGGTAGCTGGAAAAAGGTCGCCGTAAGCAGACCATAAAAGC